GTTGGGTAAACATGGGTAGATGAAATAGTTGTTGTGTGTTAACACGATGAAAGACATCAATGTTGATAGTGATCCAGTCATCTAGTGGAGTATAGATGACGACCGCGGACGATACTAGACAGTCCAGTGGAACGCTAGCAAGCTCCTAATCTGTAGGTGTTTTTGAACTAGGTGCTCATTAGGTATTTTTGAATTGAGTGTGTTCACTAGGTATTTTTGAACTAAGTGTGTTCACTATATATTTTTGATCTAATTATGCTCACTAGGTATTTAAACTGTGTGTGTTCACTATGTATTTTTGAACTAAGTGTGTTCACTAGTTATTTTTGAGCTAAGTGTTTACCAGATGTTTTGGACTACGTGTTCACCTGTTGTAATCTATAAACCTTGGTAACGATTGACTTTCTTCCTATTCCTTAGGATAATCCTTAGGAATAATTGAACGATGAATAGCTGATTCTTAGGGTAGATCCTTAAGAGTAAAGAAGATAATGGGGATGGGTAATTGGGTTGATTAATTGTTTGAAGATTAAAAATAATTATATTATTGTGGGTTGAAAACCCTATGTACTCACCAGGTTTCCCAACCTGACCCACTCAGTTTATTTATATCACAGGTGTTGATATGAAGTCACATTACACTAAGAGATTAAAGGAGATATAAATCACTTGTGATAACGAATGTAAGTTCTGTTTATGCTTATGTTTCTCTATTAACGATGACATCCCAATGTTTTAAATAAATAAAAATACATTTCTTCGGAAATGCTTTGGTAATGAATTTATCATGTTCCACTGGGAACAAATTCCACATTTTTATTAAAAAGAGGTATACTGATTTTTATAAAGCATAAACAAAATCGGTCTTTTCTGGCCGTGAAAATGAGGATGCCACACTTTCCCCCATCATTTTGATTTTTAGGCTGCTGTTTATCCTCATCAAAATTTTCCCTGAGCTCTTTGGCTATGTCAACTATGTTTCCAATTAGTTGTTTCTCATCGATCTCCCACTTCAATACCATAAATTTGTTAGCATCATGAGTTTTGCTTTTATAGTATTCGCAGAACTTGGTCTTGTCCATGCTCTTCTTCACTGGGGTCTTTTTGATTGCATGGATGTCGTTGTAACCATTCATGTTGTCATCTTTTTTGAACGGTCGACACATCCTGGACATGTTTCTGGAGTGGCGATTGTGCCTCTATTGGTTGCCATCTTGTCTCTCTTGTTGGGCTGAGCTCGGCCGGGATGTTGCTTCCTCCTGTTTGATGTATGTGTTGGATACAGCTTTGAGATTGGCCTCCTTTCGCTCTTCCCCTTCGATCTGTTTCATGTATTTTTCCACACGGAACTTGAGTTCGTCCTTGGATCTAGGAGCTGTTCCTTGCATCTTCCTCGATAGGGGTCCAGGAACCGGGCCTTGACCAAAGGCGCCTGTCACCAGGAAATCTTCATGTCCTGGAAAATTCAAGGTAGCTAGCATGAATCGATCGTAATAGTCATAGATTCACTATCCTTCTTTTTTTTTTACATGTCATCACAGAGTTGGCGTCCCCTTTTCCTTTCCTCAACTGCATGAAGTTGTTGAGGAAAAGGTATTTCAGCTGCTCAAAACTCGAGATACTGCCTGGCCTTAGAGACTTGACCCACTTGCACGCGTTTCCTGTTTAGGTGCAGGGGAAATAAGGGCAGGTGAAGCAACGATCCATCTTAAGAGATGTCATCATCCACTCATAGTTTTCGATGTGGTCGTCTGGTTATGTAGTTCAGTCGTTCTTTGGCATGTTGGGTATCATCGCAGTGTGCGGGATCTTGTATTGCAATAGTTCGTGGCTGAAATTGGAGTTTTCACTTCGCATGGGGTTGTCCATGTACGAGTATGACATACTACCATAAGCCATGAGTTGCTGCATCTGGTAGGGGCTCGTGTACATCTGGTTATGCATGGCCGCCGGTGAGATGTACGATTGATACGGCTGCAGGTTTGGCGGCAATCCAAATTGTTGGAATGTGTATTGCCCTGATAGGGGAGCCATATATGGGCTCGTTCATGTGTACTGATGCATGTATGGATTGAACAATTGGGCGACTTCCATTAAAAGGGGTTGAATTCAGATGCTGCTGAGAACTGAACGCCGAATCCATGAGAATTGGATCCCAGATTGATCGAGGTCTGCACGCTTGTGACTTGTGGCTAAGACAGTGTAGGGGTTGAACCTGGGGTCTTCTGTACAACCGGGTTCAAGATTGGTGGTTGTTGTACGAATAATGGTATGTGAGGCAAGCCTGCCATGGTGGCATGTGGGTAGACCATCGGGGGATATTGTGGTTGTGGTTGAATATTGTGAGGGATCCAGGTTCCGGTGCCCGAAGTGTGTGGAAGCGATCGTTGCTAGAAAGCAGGTACCTCTGTTTGTTGTGTTGCAGTAATCTATGGAGTTGTGGATACGATTGCTGCTTGTGGCGGTGGGTCGACTATTGGATGCTATAGACTGGCTATGTAGGCCGCTGTCCTTTTATCTGTAGAGCTGGATGGTGCTTGTGAAGCTAGTGTGCGATTTGAAGTGTGCTCTTCTTGAATAGAAGTTTTCCCTCCATCTAATGGTTGCATTGGACACAACGGACTTCTCTCCGCTGTTCCTGATGCCACTGGGATTTCTCCAACCATCGTTACTCTTTGGGTTTGCTTTGTGGATGTATCGTTCTGGAGATACGCCCAAATGGCACCAAATGTTGTGATATATCGGAGAGGGTTGGATTGAGATTATAGATGAGTTCTAAGCAGGTTTCTTCTCCTAATATCACAGTATAAAAGAGAAAGATGATCGTTAGTTGACGTTTGGGAGGAATTCCCGAGACGAAGCTCCAGTGATCAAGTTAGAATGAGATCTGAGAGAAATAAGAGTAAATTACAGGAAAAAGAGTTTCGTCCCCTTATTCGTGAGGAAGAACGATCCTTTTGTACCTGTTTAAGAGGCGTGTGCCCCTTAACTGATTATGTTAAGCATTCCCTCGTGAGGTACGACGTGGCGGACCCGTATTGGAAGATCCTTTGTGATGTCTTTTTGCCTCATCCCCTCATTGGCTAGAGGGAGGGGGGGGGTCTTTTGATATTATGAGGATCATGCCTATCGCGAGATAAGAAAGTGGGACTTACTTATTGGTCCTACGTTTGTTGGGGTGTTATTCCATGGAGAAGAGGTTAAGTTGCGGCTCTGCACCTTAACCGCCATATCAGTGAACATCGCATTGGCGAAGGCCCGACCTTGGCCTCGGACTAGGTCCGACCGGGTTCTGACCAGGCCGAGATTGGAGTTGGTTTGATTTCTCCTTTTTTGACGTTCTCCCTAAGGGATACGTTAACACCACTGACCCACCATCTTCCCGCTACCGCTCCCTTCCTAACAACAACAATGTTTGAACCCTATAACTTTCCCGTGGGTAACTGTTGGTCCTACCAGAACAAATGATGAAATCACTGAATCCTGGCGATACGGGAGAACTAACCCACTGAATCCTGACCAAAGATCTTCCACAGCAAAACCCCTGAACCGATCTTGACCAAACCCAAAATAACAATCAAACATATAGGAACCCTCTACACAAGATACAACCCCTCAATGAACCACTAATGATTCATGGCATGCAAAAGACATGAAACAATTCCCGAAGATATAAACCAACGGTAACAGAGAAATAACCCGAAGATAACGCTTACTCAAATCAATATAAAATTCCAAGCAACAAGAAAACTGATAACAATCAAAGAAAAGTAAAACACAACATACCCGCAATATCACCTGCTGGAGCACTCGCCTCTCCTGGTCCGACACTAAAATAACTGGATAATCTTTGCTAGAGATTCAACCCCTCCCTCATGGCTATCAGAAATTCGCAAAATAGTCAGAGCAGATGCACTCATTGCTCCACGCTCATCCTCAGACAGACTCCCCCTCTTCCCTAGGTGCTCCAAATCGATCTCCCTTTCTCGGGCCCTAGAAATAATAACATTCTGGGTCTTACACCCTAAATACTCTCAAACTCCCTGTTATCATCCCATGACATAGCATCAACAACATCATTTCTTATCTTACGACCAATCTCATCCTGCCAATCTCGTGCCCTGACCTTCAATAGGAAGGAAGCATATATGACTTTTGCCTCCTCGAGCAGAAACTCATCCTGCACGCGGTAGCCACATATGCTAACCACCTCCTACAGGCAACAAGGAATCTCTCCCCTTAAAATGTAGGAGTTCCAAAAGCATGAAACTCACAAAAATAAAGGCGTGTGACCCCAACGATAGCCATAACCTCAGCATGGAACGCTCCCAAGAGCTCATCCAAGATCTCCAGAAACCCCTCCTTGTCCGAACCAAAGACCACAAGAGTCTTCTCCAAAACACCACAGGTAATCTCCGATGAGATGAATTCCCGCATCTGCTCGCTCTTTCGCTCAGTACTTGCACCTGAGCCGGAACTAAAACCTGAAACTTCTCCTTGTGCACTCATAACCAAACTGAAATACCATCATGCAAAAGATCATAACATAATCAAGAACCCTTTTCCCCAAGCTTCTTAGATTCTCCAAGACTCTACCTGATTCGAGTATGGCACATGTGCTTTCAGTAGTACGGGCCCAATACTACCTTCCACACCTATCCATACTTTCCTCAAGAATCATCTTGAATCCTCCGAGTCACCTTCGCAAACTGATGCACTAAAGCTCACTAAACAACACAACTACAACCATTGCAGAACTCCCAAGGCTCATCTAGGTTCCTAACCTCACTATGCCATCAGCTGTTGAAGAACTCTTCATAATGCCAATCATCCACCTCATCAATACCTTCATATTCACTTAGTAGCTGGCTCCCATCATCCAAGAGTTCCACAAAGCACAAAGCAAGCAATATTCGTGTAGTAACACTCGAATCCATAAAACTGTCGTAGAACATTCAATCCACACACTACTGCTTATGATAGAAATTCCACCCTTACTGTGCATGCAGTTATACACAAAACATGATCAAATAGACTGACGAATAAGAGACTCTACCCTAGAACGACCACCAATCAAAGAACAGGAATAAGCCCAAGTCAATTATTCTAGGGCTATACAATTTTTAAAGCATACACTTAGCAATTACTTATTCCAATAGATATTCCATGTCAACATAGCATCCAATACACCCAATGCAAGAAGGTATCGCATATCAGGCCAAACTACCTCTAACTAATTAACACTAGCATGCAATTTTACCAGCTCATACGATATACATACAAAGGCATCTTTCCTAGCATTCTATCATGCAAGAACTGAGCAGATCCTTAGCCCTAACTACCATGTAGATAACAGATTCATAATCAAATCATAACATATAACTTGTATGGTATTACAGGAAAACTTACTTGAGCTCGGCTGATTACATGCACCACACCCTTCTCTGTGAATGCGCCACACCTTTCTTATGCTAGAAATTCCACCCTTACTTTGACTACGATAGCCCCCATGGTTGGCTGCCATGGTGGTCTTCTTGTTCTCCGACCAACAACACACGCCAAACATACTGAAACAAGCACCCACACACTAGAAAACACACCCAATCGAAACAGTAACCTCACCGATAGAGGAGGAAAACAGTCCGAAGGAATGGCGATAAGGCGGCGCCGGTGCCAACCACCGATGCTAGCGGCGGAGATACAACAGCAGAAAGAAATGGAGAAGAAGGAGTAACCGGAACAACAACAACGATATCCACAACATCCACTGATGGCTTTGTCTTCAACGGAAGTGGCGCAGCGACTGTCGCCAATGGCCCATGGTGGCGACGAAGTTGATGGCGGTGGATGGAGATGAGAAACCGGTAACACTTGAAGGTCTCCCACCAATCCCTTGTTCATCTTGGTATCTTCTGTCGTAGAGGAGAAGGTGTCGCCGGTCAGAAAGGGTCCACCGGTGGTCTTTGTTGATCGGAAAAACAAGAGAATGGGGTGGTGGCGGCTATAGTACACCAAGTAGCGGATGGAGTACACCAAGTAGCGGCTGATCTTATGAAAACTATGTTTAGGGTTTCGGTCTCATGCAAGAAAACGAGAGGGTGGGGCGCTAGGTTAAATCATGTCTCCCTCAAACTTAATTCCATTTTTAACACTTTAGCCCCTACCATCAAAATCCCTTTCAATTTGCATCTGATATTTACCAAACAACCCGTGCTTCCTAAAATCTTTTCATCACAAGTCCATATATTACCAATTGACCCCCAGAAATAAAAAATTATAACCTTTAAACCCCATCATGAACATCCCGATAAATTAATACAACTTTAGGGCTAGGATAAAATAAAAAATAAAGATACATCTCGGGGTTTTAGGGCTATTATTTATTTGTTTTATTTAATTATAAATTCATTTAATTTTATTTATTTATTTTAAACGGAATGTTACATTGGGTATATAGTAGTAAAACATAATTAATTTGATAAATTATTTTTTTGTGTTTAGAAAATTCTTCTAATACATATAATGAGGAAATAACTTAGCCAGACCTCTTTATTCAAGTCAATACACAAGAAGAAAATATTTTATCAAAAATTTATTATTTAAATTATTAAGTGTTTTTAAGACTCATATTCAAACAATTAAATTGCTAGTTACCGGTCTTTGTTCAAGTAATAAGTAATAACTTAATGATATTCATTATATTCGTTCTCCACTTGCCAACTTTTGTCACGATTAACTACCCTACGATTGGAAATATAAGAGGTTGATGGCTATCATTAAGTAAAAAGAAATATTGCATAATACATAATGTAATATCCCATTTTCACTTTATAGTATAAACAATCAGTCACGTAAATAGAAGTCTTTAATAGAAGACTATTTAGAATAAATAGTCTTGATGAAAATCGTAATAATCGCAAAACCAGGAGCGTGTGTATAGAGAACGTCCAAATCAGAATTCATAAGAGAAGTTCTAATTTTTAGAAGTTTCAGTGTAGCGGTGTATGACATAGAAAATGAAGTAGAGATCGGTCGATTGTTAAGAAAAACAATCTAAAAGAGAGTAGAAGATCTCGTCCATATGATTCCATCGATATAAAGATGGTCGAGAAAGAAATTCATATGAGAGAGTTATGATTTTTGTTCGGAGACTGTTAAAAATATAACTTTATAAATAAAGTAAAAATTAGCCGACAGTCTAAATGAAAGTTGTAGATCTCGTCAATAGCTACGCGTGGATATAAAACCCGTTGAAAACGGAACTCATATAGAGAAGATATGAATTTTTGTATAAACTAAAAACTCTTGTGTGCAACCACACGCATGGACAACATGTGCATCATGCATTGACACTCCACCAGATTTCTGCCACATGTCACCACCTAGACGATGCCACGTCATCATTTTCGACCAATTGCACGATGCACACCCGACCATGTCCACGGCGCGCACCAAAAAATATGCTATAAATAGGCGACAATTTTCGTTCATTTCTCACATCTCCTTTCCTATAGAACCTCTCTGGAACTCTCTCATACTCTTAGTCCCTTTACTTTCTAGTTTCCGGTTACTTTAGGAAGGCCCTGGAGCGTCTGAGGTATAGAGCTTTCGGATCAGAGCTTTGCCCTCATAATTGTTGATTTTTCACTAGGATCCTTGTAAGTTAAGCTGCGGCTTATGTGTAACTTATATCTATATTCCTAGTCATTTTTATGGATTTATAAATAATATTTATTAGTAATTCAAGTTATAATGCTGATTGATCTCTGTACGTGAGAGGTTTATAGAATGGTGATGTTGGCTTGGTTGTTGGATTTCAGAAAGGCTATATATTGAAATGAACCTGCTTCCTAACTGTCTAACCTAACTGATCCTTAATTGATAGAACTCCCGGTATTCATTGGGATTAATGAAAGATCTAACTTTCATTACCAGGTCATCATATAAGTTAATAGGTTAATACCCGTTCAGTGTGTTACCCGTCAACCGGATTGCTAGTATGATTCACCAAGATAACTATCAATCTTCTGAGTCATTGTCAAGGTGAGTTATCTCACTATACTATGCATTACAATACATGTCCATGTATGTTAGGGTAGAGAACTAATAAAGTATAACTGATAGAATAGTCTATATGTGCTTATGTGTAAATTGGTAAAGTAGGAAGTATGAACGTGTCTGTATTAGTAGTTACTAAAGTACAGTCTCTATATGTGAAATTGTTGTGATATTGGACTTTGGGGATAATGGTGGAATGGTTAAAGAGGCCTGGGGCCCATAGACCCATGTGTTGATGAAATGGAAAGTAGGTCGTAAATACACATAGACCCGTATTGACGAAATTACATGTAGGTCGTAAGTACACATAGACCCATGTTGATGAAAGGACATGTAGGCCGTAAGTACACATCTACCCGTGTTGACGAAATGTCATGTGGTATGTAAGTAAACGTAGACTTGTACTGAAGATGAAATGAATGGGCCGTAAGTCTAAAATACATATATTATTGGCAGATAGAGAGCCATTGTTTGTATGAAGGTATATGTATTGTAGTATATGGCATTTTGGGCCGTAAGTCTAAATC